GAAATCAGGTTTGAAAACACGGTACGCATTCTGACGAAAATCTTTAGTGACAACATCTCTCTGTTTAACGTTCGTTGGAGTTGCAGGAATCTAACCAAAAAAGAAGACAAAGATTTTTTCACGTGTGATGGTATTCAACTAAGTAATACAGGTGTCACGTCAAGATGCCGAAGCGTTACTTATATTGTTAGCGCCACCAAGCGCATTACAGTGACGATGAGAGATTCAAAACAGGCGATTTATAACTGTTGTGACGAGGATTCAGAACTCTTAAGATTTATAACAGTAATGAGGATTCAGGGACTCATACGAGTTGTAAATGAAGTTACAAGGGTTTTAGAAACTTATACTGAGTGAACAAATACGGTAAAATATACTTGCTGCTTCGGCAATAAGGATACAGGTGACGACAAGAATTTTAACCATATTAGTTTTAAAAAAAAATGTGTAGAAGGAAAAAAATTCTCTTGGGTGTAGGAAAAAACATATTCTTGCGAATATGGAGCAAAGTTTGGCTTCGATAGTTGAAATTCAACAATAAAAACAGAAACAACACCAACAAAATCAATAGTTGATAGAACTACAAAAACAGCAAGAGAAGTTGTTGGATATAATTCCAAAGAAAACATGCAATTCTTTGACGTCTATTAGGCCAGACGTTGTCTAAAGCACCATATCAAAATTTGTATACAATCCTGACGAAGCACTGACTTTTTCTGCGTATTTTTGTAGATATGAACAAATATTCAGATAGGAATGCAGCGGCCGAGAAGATGAGAGAAAAACGAGCTTGTTGAGGAAAATAGATCCGATTGACTATGAAAAATACAAGTACATATTACAGAAAAAAACAGGTGAAATCGGATTTGAAGTCACGGCACATATTCTGATGAAAATATTTAGTTACAAGAGCTCTCTGTTTAATGCTCGTTGAACGTGCATAACTCTAACCAAAGAAAAGGACGAAGATTTTCTCACGTATGCTGGTATCGTCAACAAAGAATGTGAAAAGTTTAGAAAAAAGGAACTGACTCCAGATATGTTCAAAGAGTTAATTTTGGTTCAAGGTTTAACAGCAAAAATGATGCTAAAATACAATCAAAGTTTTTAACGAAAATTGAACAAAACCGTCATATTATATTGCAAGAAATAGTAGACGATTGATAATTTTAAGTCTGAAACACGAGGGTGAAGAAATTCAGAAAAAATGTGCATTGTTAAAAGCAAACGACAAATGTACAGAAAGAAGAATAAATCCTTGTTTCACATGTAGTAAATTACATTTTGGACAAGACTGGTCATTTAAAAATGCAGAATGCTACAAGTGTGGTAAGTAGGGGCATATAAAGTCACACGGCAAAACCAAACCAAGAAAAATTCTCGCAGGAAGAAATCCATACACAGCATTGCAAATGAAAGATGGTCACCGAAAACAAAAGGAAATTTGTGAATGGATAAATAAATAATGTGGTCGTAAAACTGCTACTAGACACTGGTAGTGATATTTCAATAATCAGTGAAAGCACATGGAAAGAAATTGGAAAGACTTTATTTTAAAAAAAAATTTCTAAAGTCGCGATTTCAGTGTCTGGTGAGAAATTATATATTTTTTTAGATAAATGACTCATTCCGTAATAAGTATGAAAAGACTAAAAGTTATGTATTAAAATATGCTTCGAATTTATTCGTTACTCACTGGATGGAATTATTTGAACTTGGAGATTTGCCGATAAACGTCTATTTTAAGAGCGTAAGTGGGCAAGCGACCAATTTAAAAGAGCGTAAACCTTAAAGAAGAATTTAAAAAAAAATGTTATCCAGATGTTCTGTAATATGAACTAGGTCAGTATTCAAAATTCAAAACAGATTTTCAAGTAAAAAACTCGTTCGACGCCAGTATTTAAGCTGAAACGGAGCGTACCATTCGCAGCATTGGAACAAGTCAACAAAGAGTTGGAAAGACTCGAAAGAATTGGCGTAATAGAAAAAATTAAACATTCAAAATGGACAGCACCAGCGGTGCATGTAAAGAAAAAATAATAAAATTCGTGTTTGCTTAGAAACACATAACTACCCACGGCAGAAGAATATTTTCAAAGCTTTTTTTCTCTGAAGCGTATTTACAAATTCAGATTGAAAATGAATGTTCAGAATTAACGACCATAAATACGCACAGAGGATTATATAAGTGTAACCTACTTCCTTTTGGTATAAATGTGACACCAACTATTTTTCAACAAGCTATGGATACCATGCATAAGGATTGCCATTTCACAGTGGTGTATCTGGACGAAATTTTAATCAAAAGGGTATCTAAAGAACAACATGTTGGGAATGGAAAAAACAATTTTGGAAAAACTCAGAGAGGACGGATTTAAAACGCGAAATTGTTTTTGCCAAAAAATAAATACGTTGGCTAAATTATTGATAAAAATGGTCGTCAATCAGATCCTTCGAGGGCAAGTAAAATTAAAAATATGCCTCCTCCAACAAACGTGAATACGTTATAAGCTATTTTAGGATTAATTACTATCAAATATATGTATATAATATACATAATCTGAGAACTCCACTGAATGATCTACTTTAAAATGAGTAAAGTGGAACTGGAATGAAAACTGCCAAAAGGCGTTTGACGAAATAAAAAAAAGATTTACGTCAGATTTATCATTAGCACACAATGATCCAAAAGCAGAAATTGTAGTGGCGTCAGATGCTAGTGAGTACTGTATTGGAGCGGTGATTTTGCACAAATAAGATGGCGGTAAAATGAAAGCCTTCGTTTAGGCTTCACGCTCGCTTCTACCAGCAGAGAAAAATTACAGCCGGATAGAAAAAGAAGCTCTAATCATTATATTTTCTGTGAAGAAATTTCATAAATTTATTCATTGAAGAAATCTTAAGTTGCAAACAGACCACGGCCTCTATAAGAAAGGAATACCTACGTATTCTGCTAATAGACTACAACTCTGGGTTACCATCTTATTAAAGTATGATTTTACGATGGAGTACCAATCTTCTAAAAAATTAGCACATGCGGATGGATTATCATGATTAATGCCTAAAAATGGGGAACCATTTGAGGACATGGTCATTGCGACACTAAAAAGGAAAATGGAAAAAAAAAATTTGCGCAACGTAGCATGAGAGTTACTAGTTACGCTGGAAGAAATAAAAGAAAAAAACAGAAAATGACGTCTTTATTCCGAAAATGAAAAAAGCAATTGAAAGAAAGTAACAAAGAACGAAATCTAGAGATAGACGTTTACTCGCTATGCAACGGTGTAGCAATGTTTGGGTAAAGGATTGCAATACCTAGTGTGTTACAGAAGTGAATATTGAAGGATATTCAAAGCAGACATCCTGGTATTTCAAGGATGAAATCTCGTATATTAGACCAGAATGCACCAGTATATTGAAAAAATAATGAAAGCTTGCAGTGGTTGTCATCTGGCAGAAAAAAAAACTACCTATCACAAAGATAGAACCTTGGCAAAAGACAGACACACCGTTGTCAAGACGTCATATAGATATTGCAGCTCCTATGAATGGATCACATTATTTTGTAGTAGTTGCTAGTTTCATTAAATGGCCGGAAATTTATAAATGCAAAAATCCAACATCTTCAATGACAGTGAATTTCTTGTATAAACTGTTTGCGAGATATGGTATACCAGATACCATAATCTATGATAACGGAACGCAATTCATCGATAAATAATTCAAAGACTTTTGTAAGATGTTCTCTATTGAACAACCTCAACGTGTCACGCAAGGTCGAACGGACAAGCGGAGCGGTTTATGGTAACGTTCAAAAGAGCGTTGAAGAAAGCACGTCTTCAGGAAGGAGATAAGGAAACACTTCAAAATTTTCTGAGAGTTTACCGTGTAACACCTAACCCTAATACACCATCTGGCATGTCGACGGCGGAGTTAATGTTTGCTAGAAAAGTAAAATTGGTGTTCGACACATTATTATCAAGTCGAAAAACACGAACGGGTAACGAAAGCGACACCAAAAGTTTCAAGGTTGGCGATAAAGTATTCTTTAGAGCATATAAGGTTGACAAATAATCGTGGGAAGATGGCATAATATCAGCAAGAATCGGGAAGTTGATTTACATGGTAAAAGGGAAAAGATTTGAATATAAAAGCTACCATAATCAGCTGAAAAAAGGTTAATCGATGAAAGACCTGAAACATTGGAAGAATCGATAAAAATGCTATATGATGTTTTCGATGTGCCAGCGCCACAACAAGTTGTGGAACCTACACGGACAAGTTCCAGAAAAAGGAAGCATACTGAAGAACTGGAAGTGGGTTCAAGACGGAAATGCTACAAGGTACGTTGGCGAACTATTCAGAAAGAAGTTGGGGTATACTAATACTAATGGAAAATAAAATATTTATAAAAAGTAATAATCTCAAAAGTGGGAATGTTGTGGAGTAAATAATACACTCCCGGTGACTATATAAAATAGTTCATAACTATAAATAAAGAGTTCCAGGGGTAAGAAGAAGCCGTTTAGAGTCAGACAGTTCGCTGCTAGGCTCGTGACCGGCTTGTCGAACTCTTTGTCTTCGGGCAGAGAGGAACCCAGACGAGTCTATGCCTAAGGGCAGACAAACCTGACCCCTTGTATACGGAGTCTACGGGCTAGGAAATCGTCCCACGTAAAAACTGGCCTTGTACCATATCCTGACTTGTGCGGAGGTTTGGTAAGTACCAGAAGAAGCCGTTTGGAGTCAGTCTTCAGACTGTGGAATACAGGCGTCACTGCAAGTTTCCGAGACATTACTTATATTATAAGCGCTACGAAACGCGTTTTAACAGGAATATAACAGACACGACTGGAATTTGAAATCGACTTTTCGAATTTCTAATTCCACTCGCACATCCAAGATTACAGCACCTGGTATTCCCAAGCGGTCACCCATCTAGGTTCTGACCAGGCTCGACATTGCTTAACTTATCCATTACACCACAAGCACACCCAAGTTTACAGCACCTGGTATTCCCAAGCGGTCACTCATCTAGGTTCTGACCAGGCTCGACATTGCTTAACTTTGCTGATCGTACGGGAACCGGCGTTTCAAGATATTTACGGTAATATATACCGTAAATATCTTTCTCTTAAAGTTCTGAGGGATGTCTAGTCCCGAGGATTCCAATGCTACTGTAGCACTTTTTTTCATCCTTCCCTGTTACACTAAAGATGTTTGGTAGCTACCGATCCAGGCTTAACAGTGAGTGCTAAGACTGAGAAATTTCTATCCGTGCCCTGCATGTATACATATGGGCATTCCAAGGAAAACCGCCCATTTTACGTCTTTCCACCGTGAGGAGGTGGGTAAAGAGATTTATCCGGCTTTCGGATTGGGATCAAAGCATTGTAAGGATCCACTTCTGTTTAACCGTGTTTCTGCCTTCAGACAGCTCACGAGAACGTTTTGGTGAGTGCCTCATCTCGATTATTCCAACCGAGCGCTTTACTCCCATTGCCCTGATGAGGGTAGGTTGGTGGATACCAACGCCAGTGTGACAGTGGTCTTAGGGACTGGTTAATTGTTGTCCTTGGCCTATATGTACGTGTATGTGTTCACACATTAAACAATTTTTTGTCACATCCTTCTATCGCGGGCGAAAACCAACTTCATGTTACAACACGCTTCCGTCGGCAGGCGAGTATATATAAGATCAATAGGCAGTAGAAATTCTCATCTCTTAACTGCGGGAGAAAGGGTCTCGGAGATTCTAACCTTGCGGCATAAATTCCGTCATTGCGCTAAAGCAGTATGATCAATAAATACCAAAGTCAGCGTAACAGTAGTCCCGCGTAGTGGATATTTTTTTTTATACTTGGCTTATATTTATGGATATGGTCACCCCACGTTAAACTGAACTTGTGCCAAATCCAGCTCTGGGCTTGTAAATATCGAGTGAATATGATTATGGCTCTCGACAATTTCCTGTCCTTTGTAGATCTCAGTAATTTTTGTCTTTCTGCAATCTCTCCTAAACCCTGTTCTGCTATCCATATACACAAATTCGTTAGATAGGTTATACGCTGCTATTCCTCAGTCCCTCTTGCTTTCAATATGTCCTGTGAGTGTCAAATTTTCCAAACCCTCTTTCCTCATTATGTGCCCTAGAAATATCAACTCTCTCTTTTTTTCATTCTAAGTATCAGTGTTCTTTTTGTTTACATTTTCTCTAAAACTTCGCCATTGCTCACATGTTCGCTCCATGGAATTCTCAATATCCTTCTGTAGAACCGTATTTCTTCTGCTTCTAGTCTGTTCTTCATTTGTGAGGAGACTATACAGCATTCCCTATCACATAGGAGGACTGATATTACGTAACAGTCCAGTAGTCTTTTCTTTGTAATATTGGATATATGGGTGGTGTAATGGATACCGCTCGTAATTATTACGCGGAGTGTCGAGTTCCAATCCCAGTTGGACTCGTTATATTCACTTATACGCAAAAACTCTTGAGAAAAGTATGAATCCACCTCTTCTCCCCCAGCTATAGGTTAATTAGTAAGACTTGTATCATTAAATCATTATTACCTTAAAAAAAACCTTCATACAAGCTAAAAATAATTTTTGGCTTTAAATAACCCCAAAGAGTTGATAAGCCGTAGAAAACGAAAGTTTCCTGTTTCTTAATACTTTGCTTAGCTTTTGGAAGACATATTTCACTATCCTAATGCACCCTCGGAATTTAGGGTTTCACTTTCCGTCCCCTGTTAAAACACTTCCCAGATATTTAATTTGTTGTACTTGTTTGATTTTAGTATCTCCAGCCTCTGTAATTTGCATGTTGGGCTGTACATTTTGCTGACAATCGTACATTGTTTGTTCTGGCAACTGATGTTTACTCCTTTCTTCACTACATTCTCTAGAAGTTCTTTCTCTGTCTATTATCAACACTGTGTTATCTGCATGTTACTGCTCTCAAGTTGGATGAAAATGCCGTCTTAACACAAGATTACGAATTATCTGATCCAATGTAATAAGTATTATCAATTCGGTATTTATTCTTTCGGATGAGATCCCTCGTTTTTATTTTCTTTATTACAACGTTTCAAGAACCGTAGTCTCTGTTTTTTCTATCTGCCTTTCTAATATGTGGCGAAAAGCATGTAGAATACCATAAACTACAGCTGTTATTAATATAGATTGTTTCTTCCTTATCAATTCCCTATGTCACTGAATCAAATGGAGAATTCTCAGAATTTCAGTTTGTTTACCTATGCCAGAACCAACTAAATGCATATTAACTCAAATACAAACTGTTAATATTTAGCTATCGCCTTATAGTAATATCTTAGATGTAATACAAGGCCGAACGTAAGAATCGGACTCACTGCTCAGCCATAATTAATCTGGCGAGAGAAACTTGCTAACATTACGCCACTTGGTATTGGTCCGAACGAATGCTTATAGACTAAATTATAAACGACTAATAATTACCTATACCTTAGAATAAAAAAATACTGATTTTGATATTAAATAAACCAATCATGGTTGATATGTAGTAAAATCAAAACAGCTGATTGTATTTATATAAGATTGGCTTTTACGAAAATAACAAAGCTATAAGGATTACTTTTTTTTATCTTGGCAAACAACGTATCTTTCGTAGACACATCTGATCCCTTGAGATTCTGAGGATAAATAAAGTCTCCCTTAGAGAGGCAGCCAAATTAACAGCAGCCCCCAGCAAATAACAACGTGAAAGTCATCATTGTCATTGGCTATCAAACAGACAAGAGTGATGCGTCAACAAGTGACAATCCTTTTCGATTTTCACATTTCCTATATTCTTTATTTGAAGAATATCCTCGGTTGCAAGAAATCTAACTATTATGGTCCGGTTCCTTGTACCCCGGGTGATAGTCCAGGGTAGAACCAATAAAGAAGAACGCAAACACGGGTATGGGATAACACAGATATATTACAAACAGGAATATATACAGAGAAGTAGAAGTGTTAGTATGAACAATCAGGTTTAGTAGAGAGAACAATGTAGTCTCGACTAGTATCACTATTCCAATGTCTTGCAGTAATTGTTTGAACGCGACTCTGTTTCGGACTGCCTCTGACTCGACTCTTGACTCGACTTGAACTACTGACTCTCTCCTTGCCTACTCCTGAGGCGCAGTATTTATTAAGTATGGAATAGTCCATTATTATTATTATTGGTAAGATCCCATAACACTAACATAACCAAAACAAGAGTAGCCCCGCTTCATAACACTTAGCTAAGCTTAGACTAGCAATTACGGCAGTGCTGTAATTCTTCTTACACACCAATTCAGGAAATGTAATGATTATTTTGTGAACTTATTTAATTTATTTACTTTGACCATGACAATGAATATTCCACTAACAATATTTTTCGACTGGTAAGCAGTAATTCCTGAGATTAAATATATAGAGAGAGGCATCAATAAGAGATAGATGATGAACATCATTTGATTATTGTAGTAGAACAGCCTGAAAATATCTTAGGCAATAAAGAAAGAAAATGACAAAAAATAGAAATTTGCTTCTTTCAACCACTGTAACAAATTTGTTGAAATATGGCTGTTTTTAGTCAACAAACATATTTCCTACGCAAAAATTTTCAACTGTTTTCCATTATGTTTAATAAAGTCATATGTATATGATTCCATGTTCAGTTAATAGAGTTTTTATGTGATAGAAATAGTGCGTAAGTATGAGAATAAATAGTTCAGTCTTCGTGAAAAGTCCTGTTGTATGTCTGTGTGAAATGGTGTCTTTCAGTTGGACTCGTTATATTCACTTACGCGCAAAAACTCTTGAGAAAAGTATGAATCCACCTCTTCTCCACCAAGCTATGGGTTAATTAGTAAGACTTATATCATTACATTATTATTATCTTAAAAAAACCCTTCATACTAACTAAAAATATTTTTTGGCTTTAAATAACCCCCAAAGAGTTGATAAGCCGCAGAAAACGAAAGTTTCCTGTTTCTTAATACTTTGCTCAGCTTTTGGAAGGAATATTTCACTATCCCAATGCACCTTCGGATTTTAGGGTTTCACTTTCCGTCCCCTGTTAAAATACTCCCCAGTTTCTTATTACTCTATAAAAATTGAATAAATTCATAGAAACTGTAGTTGTATAATACAATCAAATAATAATTTCGACATTTTATCAAAATAATCAAAATCATCTTTTGGTGTGAGACAGCTTCAATGGACTTAGTTGAAACAGAGTGTGATTGAAATTGGGGGATGTCTCTCTGATGTGAGCTAATTAGAACCGTCTTCTAATGAACCTTGAATTGATTAAGACGTGGTCTTTTTTAGAGCAAACGAGGATGGCCCTGATCGAAAGTATTTTTTTCTAACACGATTGGAACTAACGTTTGAAGTCTATGCTTAGAAGATACATTTACAAACTGTGGAAGCTGAAACATCCTGTAAGGTTTTCCGGGAAAGTGCCACAAACTTGATAGTCAATTGCTGCACAATTTCTTTAGCTGCTCAATTTCCTTAGCATTATGCCAGACGATATAAGATAGACGAAATCGTTTTATAGAACTACTGGTTATTGCCCTTACTCAGTGCCCCAATATTTTAACCTTGTACCAGATTATCAAGGCATAATAACTCCTACAGTAGTACAACGATTTGGAAGACCGACTTGTGTGTATACTGTGTTTACTCCTGAAAGTTTGCCTTGAGCCAGACTAATATCTATTAAAGGAAGTTACTTTTCATATTTGTTTGCCAATTATTTCTTACTCTACAAGCAATTTATGATAATAAAAGTGCATTCATTCTTAACTAAGTCCCGCCTAGATAGAAATACAAGTCATTGATCGAATGGGACATCAATGACATTTGCGTCACATCCTAAGACCTCTTCAAAACCAATAATTCCACCGGATTAACCACGGAATACTTTCAACATGGATTCATAGCATTCGTGTGTGCTGAAGACAGTATCCCAAAGAATAAGAACCGAAGTGAATTCCGCCGCTCAAAATGCCACAGATAGGAGACGCAGAATCACTTAGAAAATAACTACTGGACCTTAAACAAAAGGAATATTTCTTT